GCCCTGAAACCCATTGCCATCGACATAAGTCATAGTCTCCTTTGATAAAATGGTGTGGGTTGTGACACTTGGCCGGTCTCACATTAACAAAAGGCTTCACTTGAATTCTATATTTAGATTGTTTTATAATAAATCAACTCAAGCTGCTGTACCTTTCCTGTAAAAGGCTTCAGAGAGTGATCCAAAATTGCACAGCTGCTGACTAAAATGATTATATACCCATTTATCATGCATAGCAAGAAAATACTTTTGCATTAATTATTTTAAGGAGCTTTTATCAACAAGTGGGGAAGTTTACCAGCAGCCACCCACCACTAGATTGTTAAATGGTGATACCTGATATACTATTGTATATAATTTATTAATACAAAGTTTTATGGGTTTGAGGTGATCCTTACAATAATGTGAAAAGTATCTTAAAATACAGGAGTATTTTGTGTCTCAATGCCAAAACGCTGCACAGCGTTTATCCACGGTGGCTTTAAATCAGGGGAAACTGGACTTGGTTGAACAATCTCGAATATGTTTTGCCTCTCAAAGCTATTTAACCTCTGTGGGATCGTTATGAAGGTTTGGTAGTTGGTTTGTTAGTGCTCCTGGCTGTTGTGACGACGAGTCGTTATGGTCGTTGGAGTCACCTGAGGCCAAGTGTGAACGCTGAACCATGCTAGTCCATCTAGTAGATTTTCAAATATTTCACAGAATAAGTGAAATCATTGCTGGTGGTGCTACAGGAAAAGTCAGAGTATCATGAAAGTCTTTGATTCAATTGCACCATGTCCTTGCAATCCATCCAATAAGTCTGTGAAGGTCATAGTTATCCAAACGAAGGTTGAGGTCAAGGGCAACTGGACTTGGTTGAAGATACTAGAACACGTTTCGTCCCTCTTCCAAGAGAAGTTCTGACTGACTGGTAGGGAAACTCAGCTGTTTAACCTCTGGGAACGTTAACTAGGATTGTCGATACTGCTGGTTCGTTAGTGCTCCTGGCTGTGGTAACGACAGTCATCAGTTGCCTTTGACCTCAACCTTCGTTGGAATCCATCCAATAGTTACTTATTTCAGTCTGGACTAAAGTCGAAGACTAACCCACGTACATTGCCACCCCATGACTGGAATTAAAATGAGTTGAAGTTTAGGCTCAAAATCAGGGTTTTTAGATATTTTAACAAGTAGAGATACAGCAGATAAGCAATGTTGACCCTGTGTTGCACATGTACTTATTTACATGCCACACTGATAACATTGTATGATTTTTAGGAGTCTTCTGACAGAAGTCAGTCAAGGTATTAGGTGAATTTTTTAAATATTTTGTATATAGCCACACTGGGTCTGGTTGATTCCCCTCATGATAATAACCAACACAAAAGAGGAGTAGTAATTTAGTTTTCTGGTTAGAACTCAGTGAACTTAATATTTGCTGTGCGACATTTAACTCATTTAGGTAATTATGCTTAATCATCAGTTACAGGCTCCAGTCATTACAGTGAAATGAAGACAGAGCCTGCTGTGAATGACTGTTTAGTGTGTCACATTCAGATCCTTTATAATCCTCAACCACCCTTCTCCTTAACTCTGACTGACACACTCTCACTTAGTATAGAGTGTGTTCAATACTTCAGTCCAATGCCCTATTTTCTCCACCACGTGTCAAAGACAGCTGGTTGACTGGCCAGTCAGGACAGAGCAAAGTCAACGGGTTATGGTGATGTAAGATCCATACAGGAAGAGGGTCAAATGTGTGAGAAGAAGATGAATGGAGGAAAAGAATGGGCAATAACTGTTGAAGTTTTCCTTGAAGCGCCGTCCTGTCTGACTCACAGCTTTTCCCACAGGGGCCCCATGTGTGTACTGGCATCATCCGGATTAGCTCATGATGGGAATACAAAAGACACAGACTGAAAATGAAACACATTCATTGGCATCAAAGAAATATTTCTGGAATTTGGCACATCTGTAGTCTTTGTTGTCTTTCTGCAGATGCCATTCGCCCAGGAGCAGAGCTGCACAGTCTGAGGGCCCTCTTTGTCGTTTTTGGATGAGTCAGTGTTTTGTGCGTATTTGCCTTGACTCTGGTATGTAATATGCTCCGGCCTCACATTAACACTGCTTGCGTCAGTAGTCAGTCAGCGTATTGGGCGCAACCCCTGCCACCTAGACGGCACCCACAGAGGGATGTAATGATGCTTCATCCACATCCCAAGCAAAACATTCAAAACATCATGGAAGCTCTGTTGTTTGCGAAGCTCTGTTGTTTGCAACAGCGATCCTTCCTGTCGATTTGACAAACATGTGATGGATGCAGATGCTGACCACAGAGTACTGGATAGAAAATACAACCAAATATGGTAGAAGAGCTGTTGTTCCAAGGAAAACTAAGAGTTTCCATGTGTTTGCGAGATTAAATTCTTTCCTGTGAAAACTTGTTATGTTTACTTATTATTTGATTTTGGGGTTGTTGAGGTTAAATCAACTTTGAAGCTACATTTGACTCTATATCAACAGAACTAAATTTTTAGCTCTTTTATTCATAACAAAGTGGGACTGCAGACTAATTTTGATGGAAAAGAATATTACATTCTTAATAATTTCGATGCTGTAGATCCTCCATTTTGTCTGGATGATTTAGTAATAATTACTTCCAATTTAGTTCCACTCTCCACCAACATGGAGTGATTATTTAAAGCTTAGGGAGCTGGAAGTATGTATATGCTCTAAACTACATCTGGAATATTCCTCGAAGTGCTGTCAAACACTGCTGTAAATCTGTTCAATGGCCAGATGGAGCTTAGGAGTGAACTTTCTTCAAAACAAGTAGTAAACATGCTAAAACTAGTTTAACGAGATGGAAGTAAACCAAAAATATAAAGCTCAAAGGATTTGAAATAAAACAATACTTAGGTAAGAGTCTACAGCCAGCAGCTCTGTGAGGCTGTAGGCTACTTAGTCAGACATGATTTATCCTCTGGGGACCATGAATGTCTGTGCAAAATTTGCCAGTGCACACACAATAAATTTACTTTTTTTTACTGACAGCAAGCCTGTTTCCAGTGAAAACCATAAATGGCTTTGAATACAGAGTGCTATGTCAGAGAACACTTGCTCTCCAGCTTTAAATGAAGCATGACTTGTAACAGTTTGTCGATAACTGATAGCGATGCCTTGTGATGATCACCAGCTCGAGGTCATACTGGCTGTGCAGCCTCATATTTCAAGTGTTGTTTTACTTGTACTTGAGATAAGCGACAGAAACCAATCTGGTATTAATCTGACCACCTTGGCGAATTAGTGCTATGTAAGCAGACAATGAGTAAGCCCAAGGGCTGAATCTTCAACAAAATGTTCTGACCTTTAGTAACCTCTGTCTTTGAAACTCTGTCTCCCTGACGGAACAGTCTGTTCTTGAGTTTGTGTGAGATGAGTCCCTGGAGTTACAGCAGAGTCAGGTCCAGGGCTTGGTCAGGATGGGGGCCTCCATTGTTCACATTTGTCTGTATCAGTGTGTGTCTGTATGTTGTCTAAGTATTTGTGTTTGTTAGGCAGCTCTAGAGAAAGCCCTTTCCTGTGTGGCGCTGGAGGTTCCTTCTGGGGCTGGGCGGCTGGCGGCCCTGCAGACACTCTGTCTCGATCCAGTTCCACGACAAGGCCTTACCATTGTTCTGACCCTCAGTCCCTTTGTCCTGTTCAGTCTACCTCCACCGCCCACCCCCCTTACAGCTAGGCAATGCAAGGCAAGGCAAGTTTATTTGTATAGCACATTTTAACAACCTGGCAATTCAATGTGCTTTACATAAAACATAAAAGCAACATAAAAATATATTTTAACTCAATTAAAAAGTTAAATAGAAAGTAAAATACAGGAGAGTAAAATTACAGTGCAGTGTAAGATATTAATCGAAAGACTCAAATTTGATTTAATAAATGGCAGCGGTACACAGGCTTGAAATTTACAATTCAAAATCAGGTGTAACCTTATGATTAGTTCTGTAAACTCCTCACACTACAGGATCATTTGGGCCGATAATCTGTTCCAACCAGCCTTGGCTAGGAAACTCCCCGCTTTTGTTGCGACGGGCAAATCAGACACAAAATTGTCCCAATTATCCTCTGGTCACTATTATTGCCTCTTTGGGCTGTGGGAGCTTTCTATGGCACTACGTAAGACTGAAATCCTGGGCAGAATTTCTATCGCAAGAACAGCGTAATGCTTTACTGCACCACAACACAACAAAACTCTTCAGCAAGCGAGCTATAAGAAGAAGCAAAAAGTATAGAATCTACAATGTAAGTTATTTGGAAGAAGCTAGCTCTGTATTATTAGTATGGATATCATGTCAGAGGCTGTGAAGAGACTTGATTACTTGTTGGCATGGCTTGCTGTGTCTTGTGTAGTTGCGCTTGGTTGATGTTTGTCTGTGGTAGCGAAGTTGTTGACTCAAGCTAAATCAGCCAGAGGTTTCACAGACGGACTTGAGATTTTTAGCTAGAAGCTAAAGTTGATGTTCGCAAACTTACTAGATGATGCACTCGCACATAGGTAACATTACTGTGAGTGCTCTTGCGTCGGTTGCTGTCTCGCTTTGTTAGGTTATCTTGCCACACAGGTTTCAAGCAACATTATGCTGCTGCTGGTGGAGAGCTCGACACTGGAGCCGGATGAAAGGGGCAAAATAACAAGGCTCAGCAGCCTGTGGACATAATGTTATTTAATGCCATAGGATGTTGACAGTGGAAGCAAAGAAGAGAAAAAGAATTGGATGTTGGCAAGAGCTTCGTGAAATAAAAGGCTGCCGAGACAGACGCCGAGCAGGCATTCTTTCTGTGGGACAAATCAGTAATATTGCTGTGTCTTGTTGTCGCACCTGCTTGATGTTTAGCTGTTAGCAAAGTTGGCGACTTGCTAGTTATTTATCGTAATGCAATCATATGAAATGCACTTGTACAGCTCTTCTTATTTACAGCAGTGGGGAATTACACCAAATCCGACACAAAAGAACCCATCTTATAATGTTGCTTTAAAGAAGAGAAAATTTGAACAATACAATTACAACAAATTAAATCAATACATGTACATGAACAAAGCCAAATAGTCCTGTGCTTAGGCAAGTACAGTGTTAAGCTATGCTATGCACAATTAAGTTACGTTGCCACTCCGTAGAGGAAAAGAAGTTGATTTGACGTGCTACTTGTAGCCAGCAGTTCCGTTGTGGATTAGCCAAGCAGTGAAGAAATGTGGTTTCCTATTGCAGTCTTTTGCTGTGCCACTTGTCTGTTCTCCTCAGAGTTAGCTACTTAGTGCTAAGCTACTTAGTTGCGTTTGTTGCTTGTTAAAGTCAGAGCCATTTAAAGAGGGGTCCAAAATGCTTGATCGTCACATGGTTCATGGAGACCGCAGGTAGTTTCCGGAAGTCCTAGGTGGGCTATTGAAAATGAACGAGAAAAATGGCAAAGCGGCGATTTTAAGCTATTTTTTTGTAATTTATACAATGATAGCGTTGATTTACAATATTTGTACAGCACACTGACACCTGGATGAAGTTACATTACTATTTTTAAAAAGGAGGACATATATTTTGACAATCACAGCTACAATCACCTACCTTGTTGACATTTTTGGCTAACCTTACATTGGAAAGTGTTCCTCTTGAAAACACGTTTAAAATTCAGATCTGAACATTCCTTTTAGTAATCCCATGATACCAGGGTTACTTCTCTTAATGACTGATGTAATCTTTATGACTTCAGATAGAATAGACAGGTGACTATCAATGATTTTCATATATTAATGTAATAAATCTCCAATAAACTCAGAAATCAGCATGTTAAGTGGTTTGTGCCTGTCTTAAAATGTACTACAACACGGTTTATTGTGCTGTGTGGAGATGCTGCTGCAGTCGGTCAGAAAAAGGAGTACAAAGGTATGGTTTCCCAGCTGATATGGAGAGGAAGAAAAAATGGATGATTCAGGTAAACAGGAGCAACCTTACAATCAATCAGCTAACAACAAAATAATATGTGAGGTATTTTTTCCACAAAGAAAGAACACATCACTGGCTTAATGTTTGGTTTATTAAAAACATCACTGCAGATAATCTTCAGGCTCCACTGAACCCCCTGTGATACTTGTGCTGAAAGAGGTAGAACATAAGAGAGAAAGGGTTATACAAACCTTCACATCTGTAAAGATTCATCCAGGTCATGGTTATCCAAGAAAAGTGGAATCGGGAGCAACTGGACCTGGTTTTAGATGACGTTTCAGAAGAAGTCCAGTTGCCCTCAGTTCAACCTTTCTTGCAAACAGCAGGTTTGATTGAGAAAGTTATGCATTGTTAAGTTTTGGAATTTTATCAACAGCTTTTGCTGCTGATGTTGGCATCAGTTACTAGAATATTTTTATTTTTTCAAAGAGGTCTCACACACAGGAACTTTGATGATGATGTGATATGAATTTGTACAAAGTAATTATGTAATTAGAGTAAACATATCCAGTAAGAAGTGAGTGTTCACCAGTATCGTGCATTCAACCACTATGATGTATTAATGTGGGTAAATAAACCTGAATTGTTGTGTGGAAAATAAGCTCAAGTCTCTCTGCAGGGACATTTTGAGGCAGACCAGTTTGTCAGGACCAAAAAGTCCTAGCTGCTGATCAAAGCTATACTTTTAAAAGTGACACAGGTGTAATAAGTATTAACTCTTAAAAAGTATTGTATATAAATATTACATTAACAGAGCCATGTCTTCTACTTGCATCAGTTTCAGAGATTGAGGAAAGAAGGAATATAGAGACTAAGAAGTGACACTGAGAGAAGGGAAAGAAAATAATATAACATTTTGAGTATGATTTCTTATAAATGGTATACAATAATAGGCATTTACAATCGTGTTGTTTTCTATCTCACCATGGTCCACTCAGTACTCTTTAGCATCACTGCTCCTCCACCATGCAGAGTCTACTGCTCTAATATAACTAATGTTTACTATGAAGATTGTTTTATATAAATAAATAAATAACGTTTTGAAATATTTTATTCATACATGCACCACTAATATATTTAAATAAAATTAAATACCACCCCCCAAAAAATACGTATTTGAAAATAAATTAATTGGCTGCCCCTGTTTATATTGTGTGCTGCTAACTTTATCCATTGCCAGTATCATAATTTATTTCTTAATTAGTTAACCATTAATGTCCGTAAATCTTCTAATTTAGGGGGGGAAATCCACCAACATGCTTTGATGCACATGTTAACTTGATTCAGTTATGCTAATAATCTCATTTTTTGCACGTCTTACCTTCCCAAAAGCATTTTCTATTGCAGTTCTGCTGCGATGCTAGCACTTGATCCTAGCATTTGATGCTAACTTCCGGGAACTATTCACACGCTCCATGATCCGCCATTGCTGTGAAAAACTGGTCCATTGGAGTGAACGGAGATGACGCGACTCTCTCTTTAAAGGGCTTTGGTTAAAGTTAGCTGGCAGACTCTGTGTCTCTGCCGCTCAAGCAAACAAAACTTGTAGTTGTTGTTGTTGCAAGCTCTAGCGGCGCTGTTATAACATCAGAGAGATTGGTTCTGCTGTACACCTGGTTGTTGCGGAGGTTTTGTGCTATCTCTCCCTTTTGCAGCTGTCCATAGCTGTGTCCTACTAAGAACAGGGACTGAAAAGGCCCTCTGGATGATACCACTGTTTTGAGTACATGTTAAAGTACTGTCGTTCCCTCGTTGTCTATTAATTTCCCCAATCACTTGTAACCGGTGGATTTTGGTTTCCAGCACTGCAATTTTCTGTAGAGGTTTTTCTTAGTCGTCCGTGGAGAAGTGCAGCATCTTGCTGGTAATTAGCTGAAGCTAGGTACGTCTCCAGTCACTGCCGTACAGGCTTGTGCTGTTGGTAAGCCACACCTGCGTAGTACCGAGGAGGTCAAAAAAGTGTTGAAAATATGCCAAAAGCCTATTTTATCTGAATATATTACCATCCCAATGATTTATTGGTATCCAGTCGATGTTCGTAATTTCTAACAGAAAAAAAACAACGAATATCAGCAAAAGATTTCATGCAGAAGCGAGAGCAAGCAGCAAAGCGTCTGCACTGTAAGAAAGCAGGAAGTATCCCTCTCCTCATGTCTCCTACCCTGCAGGTGCAGCTGATCCACGGCCCAGAGAGGGAGGAAGTGCTGGCCTAGAAAACAATACCTCAATTCCTATTTATACATCAATTCATTATTGTATTTATGTGGTTGCCTGCTTATTTTTGTGGTTTGACATCAGTTTGTGTAATTTTGTAACCGCGCTGGATTGTAAAACCCCCCGTGTCAGCTTACAAAAATGTTCAGCCTATTGATGGCCATCTAGGTTATGGGATTCCCGCTTTGACCTTGGTGTATAAAGTTAAAATTGGATGGTACTTGTATTGACTGATGTGACTGATGCCGTGGAATTCACCGTTTTCTCCCACAGAGATTATTTTATAGGGAGAGTTAAACTAATAGCTGCAGCCTGTCTCAGCACATATTGGGTGAAAGGCAGGGAAACACCATGACTTGGTTTTAACAATGTGCAATACATGTATGATGTAATGAATGGATGTTGCTGGAGTGCAAAGGGTGGACACTATCTGCTGGTCAAGTGCTCTCTCTCGATGATAACATAATTATAAGCGTCCAAAGAGGGCTTAAGAGATACTTCAGGTGAACACCAATGTTACAATACAGATCAAAGTGCTCGGCTGGTATAATGTGGCAGAAAGATAATGTGTAACAGGACAGTGAGTTCAAGCCTTGGGTTAAGTATGGACTTGAATTTTGAAGACTATGTCAGACTGAATGGACTCCAGACTGTAAATCACTGATAGTGCAAAGTGAGATTGTTGCTGTGCAGTACTTCAGCCAACAACACAACACACACCAGCCAATAAGTGATGCCTCGGACACAAGAATATTTGTCATTTTCACAAATGGGTTCGACAGCCAGAAGATTGCTATGCAGTGCAATTTGCACTGAGCAAAACAATGAATTTGGGTGTCCTTTGTGCACACACTTGCAATATTTACAGTACGGAAGACCTTTGTTAACTGTGAGTGGGGCATGATAGAGATAGACAGAAATATTTATCTCTCAAGAGAAATGAAGTGAAATGTATCTGAATGAAATGTGAGCTTGTTAAAACTATGCAGCAGAGGATGAAAAACAACATGACAGAAAGGAAGGAAACAGGCACTGTGCACTCTTGTCCTACTACGCTGAAACACTCTAAAATGTTCCAATGCACAAACATGTCCTTTTGTACTGTTACAGTAAAACATTCTGTGATGAGTGAAAACCCTGGAAAAGAATTTGCCACTCTGAGGACTATCTACTTAAACACAACAACATATGATGCAATGCAGTGAGGAGCGTGCAGTTAAACACTTGGAAAATGAACCAGCCTCTCAACAAGCACACAGCCTGCTATGGGGGGATTAAAGAGTTCATTATGCTCCAGTCTAACTAGTGTCATCTGAAAACGTCTAAAAGGCAAAACTGTTTATTGCTGAACGACCACATATGAAGGCAGAGTGAAAAGCCTGCTGTCACAGGGAGAGGCACAATGCATAGCACAAATGGGGATAAGTCTCTCTTTGAGGGAATTTATGGTGTTGCACTTCGTTGTTCACATGAAAAGTGCCATAGATGTGTGAAAACTGAAAGAGAGCTGAGAGAGAAATTCACCTCAGCACACCCGATCAATTTCTGCACGAGCTGAACATGTTATTCGGATTATCAGTTTCAGAAATTTGCAGAAATGGTCAAACATCGATTTCGACGATGTAAGATGTGAGGGTTAGGAGGTTTCAGATGCAGTCTGATGATCTGGCAAGGACTTATTTTAAAGAGGTGGTATTATGCTCATTTTCATGTTCAAAATCCAGAACAGATTTACATGGTTTAATTTTCAAAAAACACCATATTTTTCTCATACTGCACATTGCTGCAGCTCCTCTTTTCACCCTGTGTTGTACGATCCGCTCTTGAGCTACAGAGTGACGCATCTTACTTGTACAAAATTTTCTTTGGGAGTTGCACATGTGCTGTTCCCACGTAAGGACTACTAGCCAATGAGAAGCAGAGAAGGGCGGGTCGTAAGAAACAAGGTAGTGTGATCCAAATCAAAGCCGCTTCAGACTGCGACCGTAACCTAGCAGATGGTATAAGTTAATCACAAGTCCACAACCACACAACATCATTGTTCCACATCTTACCATAAACCACTAAAAAAATTTACATAAAAATTGGCCAAACAATTTGAACGTTTGCTCAGTAGCTTTCACATCAGGTGTAACATTAGCATTATAGCTATAACTTTAGCTGTGAAAGCCAACGTTTACAACAACTCCGCACTTGAACAGTCTGTGAAGTGAAATTGCCATGTTTATTTTAAATATAATTCACAACCAATAAAGCATAATTACAGTTACAGGTTGTGATTGTGAATTTCCAGGCCCAAACAGAGTCGGAGTTGCATCGTCTTTTAGGACTAAACGTTGAACTGTTGCCGGTGTTCTGACGATCTATGCTGCCTTGCCGAAAAATGCCACCATAGCGCAAATCGATAGACTCGACTCTACTCGGCCCTGCTCCGTTTTCCATTGCAGATAGTACCCAGAGATAGTACGTAGCTTGTTGTCATAACGACGCCACACACAACTGCAGCGACTTGATACACACACCAGCAATCGGTATGAAAACCTTCCAGCTGTGTTTTCCTCTGCTGTTGTTGCTGCAGAGGTCTGTGTGACGGTGGGAGCAGAGGGCTCTGTGAGCTCCTCAACTCCAAAAATATTCAAGCACATTTTTGTTCTGCCATCACTTCTCGTAAAACTGTCAATATTCAAAATCTACACAGCTGATTTCTCGCCTCAAAACTTCTCAGAAGTGGATTTAGTGATGAAATTCCACACAAAACTGTAAAATATAAAACTTTCTGTGGCTGGCCTCAGTCTGGTCCAGCAATGGTGATGCAGTGAATAGTGAATATTCTCTCTAACCAATCAGCAGTCTGTCGTGTATTCTAGTTACATTTTAGTATCCCTAAGCTCGCTTGGAACCTCGACGGAGGTGAGTTGACACGAAAAAATGTACCTTGAAGCAGGTACAGGTAGAACATTTCTACAATGGAAAACCAAACAAAGGCGAGTCGAGCCAAAGGGCCTCCGCTCACACTAGCTTGGTTTGAGGGCGTGCCTGACCCCACTCGCTGCTTGGCAAGCTTTATAACACGTTTTCCTTGTGACATCACAGGGAAGTAAGGGAAACGGCTGGACTACAAACGAGCTGCTGGGAGATGGGAACTCCGTTTGGGCTGGACTTTTCACTTTGCAAACCTATTACATGCACAAAAAAGAGATATCTCAATAAAGGAGAGGGGAAAAGCCAAAAAGCATAATACCACCTCTTTAAAGCATAGGGGAGAGCTGAGTGAGTTGAGTCAGTTTTTACTTGAGGTGTCTTTGAAGTGAGGACATGACAGTAATGTCTCCAACTAAAATATGTACATATATTTTAGGATGTGGTGCATCCCTGGGGATAATAAATATGGATCTAAAATAAACTGTTTTCAATATATGGCTTTCCAAAAAATAAAGTGCACTGGAAAGGATAAGTTGAGACACATGGGCGTCTTGGACATCAATGTCATTTCATCGTGCAAACTCAAACGCCAGGTCCCAACATTTAATTGCACTTAGATAGTGAAACATTGCAGCTATATCTCCTGGTTGTTTCATATCAGTGTATCGCTTTAAAGTCATCCTGTTTATCGACATGTCCCGTGCCACCTGGTGAATGGACTTCCCATTTTTGTACCTCTCCCACTTCTCTGTCCAAACCCACAATAGGAGTTAAAGCCTGTCTGGGTTCCATTTATAGAAGCATGACATGATGGTTTCTGCTCTAAAATGCATGATGTCACATCATTTCACTGATGCATAAGAATGCAATGTAAAATTACAGTTAAATATCTGGCTCATCTTCCCTCAGGTCTTTTGGCTCAAATTACCCCATCCCCGCCATTTTAACAAAATTGTGTCATCCAGCAGTTTAAGGGTAAAGTCATGCTAACAGTATAGCCTCCTATTGTAACTTCCTAAAGCACTAACACATGCGTAAGATTTTCTCAAACCTGTCTACAGTTGTTCAGACACAAGAATAAGACTAACTCCTTGAACATAAAAAAATCACTTTGAACGGCAAAGTTTTGATCTTAAATGTGCTTATCACTTATTCCATTCCATTCCATGGGCATTTCTTCATCACAGGGAGAGTAAAATGGATGACTCTTCAAAAATGTGTTTTCACATGACCATTGTTGTCTATGGTTGCTGAGAAACAAGTGGTGGCTCAACTTCCCCACAGGCTCAGCAGCCTACAGTACTGTGAAAAAAGTCAGACGTGGAAAAAATGCTGTAAAGAATGTTTTCAAAAATAGACATGTTAATAGATTATATAAATAAATAATAAATATAAAGAGGGCCAAGTGACTCAGCTATTGGCTGCTGGTGTTTTGGACCTACCTGCCGAGTTCCTTCAAAAACTTTGTGTAAGTGTACCTAGGAGAATTGATGCTGTTTTGAGAGCAAAGGGTGGTCACACAAAACATTGATTTAAATTTCTTCTTTTCACTCACTTTGCATTTTGTTAATTGATAAAAATAATCTATCGACACGTCTATTTTTGAAAGCATACTTACTTCACAGCATTTGTCCACATGTGCCTAAAACAGCTTTTTTATTTTTGGTCAAAACTGTATGCTTCAGTATTATTGGAAGTAAGATAGGTGAATGCTTTAGCTGTACTGTAGATCATGTGAACAGTGCACTTTATACCGACCAGTAACAGTTTTTTACATCCATGGCTCTGAATATTGCTCTCAGACAAATGATCATTTTCACAGTTCCAAAATTAAATGTGCATAACAATAGCCGCTTGCAAGACCTGCCCAACATCCATTAGCGCAGGACCTTGATAAAGAACAGGAAACTGATAAGACTCAATTGCTCTGTAGCTGATCCATATCTGCAGTGTGCATACGTCAGGCATTACGCCA